AGTAGCGTTGACAGTTCAGAACGTCAACTGATGCAGTAGCGTTGACAGTTCAGAACGTCAACTAATGCGACACCTTGACAGTTCAGAACGTCAGCTGATGCAGTAGCGTTGACAGTTGAGAAGGAAAACCGCTACGGCTACACCCCTAATCACAAGGAATGTGATATCAAGTGTCATCATTGCGGTGGAGACCACGAATCAACAAATTTCAAATGTCCATATATAGATGGTTTTCGTCAAGAATTAATTAAAATATTGAAAAATAATCCTCGTTTTTTTGCCATCACGTGTCCAACTTTTTCTTCCTCAACGTTATCGTGATCAACAAGGAAAACGAACTATAGGTGATGGTCAAAGTTTCTCTTCCAAGGCGAAACAACATGGGCAATATTATGAGAACAAAAACAATACGAATGCACGGCCATTTCTGAATTCAAATGCACCCCCACATCAAATAAATTCAAATCCAGATTCAGTTTCAACATTTAGTATTGAACTTAAAAAACTACAGGACGAGTTTGATAAAATTAAAAATGAGTATGAAATTAAATTGCTCAAAACTAAAGAGAGTTATGACAACCAAATGAAACGAATCGCTCAAGGATGGCAGTTACTCAATCTGCAGATCAAGACTCAGGCGGAAGCAGTGATAGATGTGTATACGGTGGTTTGTGAAATAGTACCACCGATAACTCAGTCGATTCAGATTGTTAACCAAGTACTTGAAAAAGTTAATTGTAACGTAAACGATGTTAATGAAAGACAACAGAATGATCAAATGTTAACTACAACAAATTATATCATTAACGCATTAAATGATCGTCTTCAACTGTTAACTGATCACCATCAAAAGCTACAAGCATTAATGGTGAAACAAAATGATTTACTGTTGCAGGGTATGAACTCTTTAGGTCAGTCCTTGAATGAGTAATTTTTTTCACTACTCATCTCCAAGTTTGAATAAGGTTTTAGTTGAGGCTTTTGATGGCTCAAAATCAGATAAAAAAATCTTGTCAGCTATTTTTGATGAATGGAATAATAGATCGTCGCTTTCAGATATTTCCAAGGAATGGCATAAAGATAAACCTGTGCGTACTAGTGAAAATCTTTCTCTTGTTCTATGTAATTGTCAATGCTTAAGTACCCACACTGCTGATCTCGATATTTTACTCTTCACTTTCACGTCTCAAATTCTTGTTTTAACGGGTGTCGGCTCTAAAATCAAAAAACTGCCCAAGTTCTGCTCGTATTTTTGGCTCAGTCAAGAAGGTACCAACTCTTTTGGCGGTGTTGCGATGCTACTACATACTTCTATAAAAGTGAAGGTTATTCACGCGAATTAAATCTTTTATTAATAGAGATCTCTACTATACCAGAATCAATATTATTAGGAGCTATTTATGTGCCACCTGGTAATAGTTTTCCTGCAAATTCGTTTGAGAAGTTTCTTAACAAACCCTTTTTCATATTCGGAGATTACAATGCCCAGCATTCTCAGTAGCGTTGCAGTCAAGATAATGCGAGTGGCATACAGTTAAAAAATTGGCTCGATAACACAGGATGTGATATGATAGCTCCAGAAAAACCCACATCGCGACGTTCAGACGCGATTATAGATTTTTGTCTCACTTATGACAGATCAGGCTGGACATCAGAAGTAATTGATGAGGGTACATCCGATCACTACCCTGTGCTATTTCAATCGCCTTTTTCTACGTCCGAAAATGATTTTTTCAAAAATACAAACTGGAAGATGTTCTCTTTCTTTCTACAATGCACATATCAATATTTTAATTCTCTCGTGTATAATCTTGAACCTGAATGTTTCTTCTCTCTCTTTTCATCTTTTCTTTCTTCTTTATGGGATAGAGTGAGTGTATACACACCAGTAAAAAATATCGTCCGCCATGGCCACCATATCGTGTTGAGCTGGCGAAAAAACAAAACAGAATGAGAAAAATATATAGAAAAACCCGTAAACAAAAAAACCTAGAGGAATATTTATTTTGGAAAACTATTTACTTCCAACAGAGGAGTTTATATCTTCAAAAAAGATTGGAAGATAAAATGTCTTTTATCTCCAAAAAAAAACAATATATGGATGTTTGTTCGTTCTACGTTTCACCATGGTTCACCACCATTTCGAGGCCTCACAACAACTTCTGGAGTGATAAAAGATCATCAACAAATTGCAGATATCTTAGCTGACTTTCATGAAAAACACTTCGAAGCTCCAGTGCATGATCCAAATGTATTGGCACATGCAGAAGCGATTGATGCATATAAAAACGTTTCCTATATTCCAAACTGTCCGTTAGAAAAGATTACTATGGAAGAAGTGGAATTTACTTGGAAACGGACTCGGAAGAAAAGATCAACCGACGGTGAGGGTACTTCTGCGTTTCTTTTAAAACAGCTCCCCGATGAATATTTAAACATTGTAACATACGGTTTTAATAAAATTGCGCAATTAGGATCTGTTTTAAAGTTAAGTAAACACGGTAAAATTATCTGTCTTTCTAAAGACGGTATATATCCGGTATTAAATAAACTTCGTCCTATTTCTCTCCTTTCTAACTTTGGAAAATGGTACGAAAGAGTTATCCACAATAGAATTTTGAGATGGTGTAACGGCTTGGGTATATATGTAGACGAAGAATCTGGTTTTACGCCCGAAAGAAGGCTGGAAACACGAATTCTTTCTCTGATTGAAGATCTGAGATAAACAGTGGCCGCATGTAATAGACCGGCACTGGTTATCTTTGTTGACTTTATGTCAGTTTTTGATCGAATGTGGCATCCAGCGCTCTTGAAAACTCTTATTGATTTGGAATTTCCGCTACCACTTCTTCGATGGGTCTTCCTGTGGCTACAGGAAAGAACCATGTTAATTCATTTTGGAGATGCCATTTCTCGGATAATAAACGTTTTTTCTGGTGCTCCTCAAGGCTCTGTATTAGCCGCTACATTGTTTCGTCTTCACGTTCATTTTCTTCCTTCTGTTTTTCTGAATTTTATGTGTCATCTTTTTGCGGATGATTTAGCCATAGTTATATCAGGTGCACTTGAAAGTCGCTTTAGCACAAATATTTTAGAATTAGGAAGACAGGCGGAATTAGCTATGTGTATTTTGGCAAAATATACCGACGATAAATTGCTTCCAGTAAACGTTGAAAAAACAAAAGCACTTCTTGTTCACAACGTGGTAGCACCACATTTTCCAGTTGTTAAGTATAAAAATAAAATAGTTAACCTTGTTAAACTTTTTAAATATTTAGGTGTGGAAATAACAACTAAATTAGGTTGGGGTCAGTATATTTCCCATCGGCTGAAAATAGTTCGAAAGATATATAACGCTCTTCGTATGTTGTTTCACCAAATTCCTATCTGTTTACTTACAATTCGTAAAATACTGTTTTTCGCGTACGCTCTTCCGCATTTCATCTGTTTGTTTCCATGTTGGGTCTTTTTCTCTGATCGTCAGCAACAAATTATTGAGCATGTATACTGCTCAGGTTTAAAAATAGTGTATAATTTGTACAACTCGGACGATCTAACCGTTTACATTTTATGTCAGGAGCTAACTCTACGAGATTTTCTTTATAAGTATTGGATTAAATTTAGTGCACACCTTGAAGTTTCACATGAAGCTTCTCATTATCAATTAACATTCACATCATACTTAGCAGCAAAAACACCTCAAAGAAGTTGGTGCCTTTCTATGGGAATGCGTAGGAATAGTAAATTCTTGAATAGATTATCTGTATGAGCCCGTCACACCAAAATTGATGTATTAGAATTTCTCTCAAGACATTCCAAGCAATTTGGGCACTATAAACACTCTTCATCGTCTATCCTTTCTTTCGCGTATAAGTACTATCTACAACCTCCTTGAGTGTAAATGAGCTTTATCGTCTTTTGGTGTTTATAATTTATTCGTTTTTGTGTGTCATCATAATTTTCTGTTTTTGAAACACTACTCTCTTCATTTTTCATTTATTTTTTTGTGTATACCTGTGTATTCCAATTGTGTAATCTGTTGCTCGCAGTACTTTATTTACTTTCTTTTTTTTTACATTGTCAACCTTTTTCTTTTTCTCATATGGCCAATAAACTGTTTATATATATATATAAGTATTTAATTAAATTGGCGTAGTCGTTATTCTTACTGAAATTGGATCAAACTTTTTGGAGATAGCAAAGATAAGCACGATATCTACCGAAATATCACCTGGAAAATGGCAACGTCAACTCCTGGCTAAATGTTGCTTGAAGGTCCACACTGCACCTCTTTAAAGCAGACATGTGACATCTCTCCTTTAAGGAAGGTTGTATAAGAAGGCTAAGAATCTGATTTTATCATGTTTTACCCGGCTTTTTCTTCAGTAACATGATGCAATCAACATATGTCATTGGCCTTAAGCTTGACTGGCGCTTCAGCTGCAAGTGACTACCTAGTAACTTTGTTTGTGCTTGGTTTTGCACAAGCACATATAAGCTGCAAAATTTCGAGTATAGCAATGGTCTGCACGCCACGCTAAGGGAAAAATAAGGGGCGCTTCATCCATAGAACGAACACTGTTTATTGTAAAACTAGTTTAAAATAACAATAGCAAACACACAGGCATCTTCAATCACTCACGTGACTGATACGTAAATTCTATGTTACGGTCTATATAATGTATGAGGTATAAGTTCAAACGTTCAAAGAAAAATGATCTTGAAACTCGCTAAATACAACTGGAATGAACATGCAACATGAAGAAAAGTATGCAACAAATAGGAAAGGCTTTAAAATTGCAGGAAAACATGAAAGAAACTAATTAAGTTTTCTATGATTTTGTTCCGTTTGTTATCTAGATCATGAATATCAACTCCATTTTCCATTGAGAAAAGGCTTTCGTCATTAAAAAATTACGTTTTTAACTTTTCATCATGAACTGTATGTAAAAAGAAAAGAGAACAACTTTTCGTTTTAGTCCGTCGCACATCATGGAATCCTGGAATGTTCGAATCTTCATATTCCCGAATCCCGGAATTTTCGAAAAATGGCTCTTACGTTTTCCTTTTCGAAAGCCTGTCCCTCTGTCGGAATGGGAAAACTACGTCTCTGTTTGTGCAGCGGAAGACGTGGCGACTTACAGTCAATGACGGAACCCCTCGATGTGATGAAAAGCTTTTGGAATCGGACTACTTTTATCTTGTAGACCCTAGTGAGTAGTGAAATACCCTAAGGTGGTTCGTTCCCTTATTGCTTTGAGAGAGAATTGTAGTCGGTTTACTGGTTTTTTACCAATGGTACCGTGTGAACAGCAGTAGTAAATGAGTGGCTCTCGGTCTGAAGTTTTAATGCATAACGAGGTCTTATGTACACAAGAATATCCTGAAAGTTTGACACAAAATGAATGCATCCTTCTTAATGAATTATCGAAAAAACGGCTATTTCTCGCAAGAAATTAAAATTTGTCTTAGAAGACTCGTTTTTTTGACAATTCATTATCTT